ACAGAGTCTTGGTTAACCCAAGGCAAAATCAGCAATGCTTTTCATTCATGTGTTAAATAACACTGATTACTTAAACTTCTAGCATGTTGTGCCTCAGATAAAACATCTTTCTAGTACATAAGCTTCAGGCTGGGTTTAAACTTGTAGCCACCTTGCCAAAAGCACAGGTGAATAGTCAAATGTAGTCCCGAGAGGTGGTAATTTGCCCATACTAATTGGTAGCAACTCACTTAGCTTTCCTCTAAGTTCAGTGTTGCTCCTCTTCCTGGCTGCAGCCAAAAGGGGTTACTGCCACCTCTGGCAACAGACAGGGGAGCTGCAGCAATGCTGAGTTATGAATATATGTATCTTGTTTGGCCAACCACTAGCAAGTTTAATACCAGTGGTGCATGCTGGTGAGGATATAAATATTTGGGGGGTGGACTAGTGAGTTCTCTTCTTCCCAGGCTGCAGCATAGGGAGACTTGTGTAGTAGTATGTACTAGCTAGGCCAGAAGCCTGTTCAGACTTAGAACATAATCCTGAGGCTGTCCTGCTTGGTTGAGGAGCATACCATACCCAAGGTGGAGACCCAAGGGAAGAAGTCTCGCTGGAGGGGGAATGAACCTTACTTAAAAGTACCCACTTCTTGGTTGTTGAGCTCTGCAGACTGTGCAACTGGTGTTTGCCTTATTTTTCTAAAATACCATGGTCCACATTTTATTTATTCACTGTGACAGTAGGAGTGGGGTTAGAGTTTGGAAAACATATTGATCAGATTGACTCATAACAGCTTTGCTGACATTGTGATCATGTGATTGCATAGTGATCACATGACCACCGGGTCCTGTTTACTGGGATCTGCATTCCGCTGTGTGTGGTGGACACAGCGGTCACGGAGGTGGGCATGCAGCGCCCCCCTGTGTTAGTGCAGCCAGAGCGACGTACTGGTACATCACTCTGCCTGTAGCTGCAGCCTGCCCACTGTAAATTGCGGGCGGTCTTTACGTGGATAATAAGTGCATAACTCAAAATAAAAAGAAATAGAAAACCTAACATGTTTCATGGCACCCCACATGGCCTCATCAGGGGTAAAATAATAAACAGTGTCTATGCATGTGTTCAAATGAAAATAAAATCAAAATGTGCCTCCCCCATGTGTCAATTTACTTTTTATAGACTCCTCTGCCTCATTGGTCAGAGCATCCGCACTATATTCCTGTGTCCATTGGCCTCCATTATAACCATATAGGATCCTTACTACAGGTCCTCAGGTGCCCTCTACTTTTCACTATGTATATACAGTACACTCAGAAAGTATTCAGACCCCTTCACTTTTTTCAATATTGTGATATTGCAGCCTGATACTACAGTTGTTTAACCGGTTGCCGACCAGCCACAGTACATTTACTGCAGCAGGGTGGCACCGCTGGACAAAATCATGTATATATACATGATTTTGCATTTCGGGTAGGGGGCTTGCGTGATTCACGCGACCGCTCTACCTGAGCCGCCGATCGTGGCCACGGGAGTCAATCACTGGGTCCCGGCCGGTGATTACCCGCCGGAGCCCGGCGATTACCAGCAATCACTGACAGAGAGCACGGCTGCAGTGTTTACACTGCAGCTCTCCTCCCTGTCAGTTTGAGCACACAGGTCCGGAACTCTGAGCACAGCTTTCCAGATCAGTGTGTTACTGTGAAGTACACCCCCCCCAGCTGCCTAGTGAAACACTCCCCTCACACAGTTAACCCTTTGATTGCCTTCAAATATTAACCCCTTCCTCCCCAATGACATTAGTACAGTGTCAGTGGGTTTTTTTTTGCACTGATCAAAGTATTGGTATCATTGGGGATGTCAATGACCCCAAGTCAGTTCCCCCCCGTGTCAGAATGTCCGCTGCAGTCCCGCCATAAGTCACTGATAGCCGCCATAAGTTGCTGATCACCGTCATAAGTCACTGATCTCCGCCATTATTAGTATATGAAAAAAAAACTATTCAAGTATATATACCCCCATTTGTAAACGATATAACTTTCATGTAAACCAATTAATTTACACATATTGGGATTTGTTTTAGCAAAGACATGTCACAGAATACATTTTGCCCTAAATTTTTGACGAAATTTAATTTTTAAATTTTTTTACTGGATATGTTTTATAGCAAAAAGTCCAAAATATTGTTTTTTTGTCAAAATTGTCAGTCTTTTTGTTAAAAAATGCTCAGGAGATCAAATACCACTGAAAGAAAGTTCAATTCATGGGAAAAAAAAAGGACATAAATTTCATTTTGGTGCAGCATTGCATGACCACGCAATTGTCAGTTAAAGTAACGCAGCGCCGTAACACAAACCTCTTCTGTAAATTCCTCATAATGACAAAGCAAAAACAGAATTTTAGAATCTCTGTAAAATGTATTTAAAATTAAAAATGGAAATATCGCATTGGCATAAGTATTCAGCTTGAGGTGATTGTAGCCATAATAGTGCATTTAAATCCATTCAGGAAAGAAAAACTTTTGAACTAAGGCTACGTTCACACTAGCGTTGTGTGCAGGCGGCAGAGAGGCGTTTGGGAAGCGTTTTTACCGCTTCCCAAATGCCTCTGCCAATTCTGCACATTACAGCACATGGTGCTGTTCTAACGGGAGCGTTTGCGTCGCGGCAAAACGGACGCCTCTGGTCGAGTCAGGAGGCTTTGAAGCCTCCTATTCTCGTCTATGGTGCCGCTCCGCAAACGCCCGGCCGGCGTTTGCGGTGCGGTTGCGACGCGGTTGCGGGGCATTTGCAGAGCGGTAACACCACTCAAACTGCATTATAGGCGTTTGTGGGGCGTTATTAATGCTCTGCAAATGCCTAGCAACTTCCGCTAAACCGCGCATGCGGCGTTTGCGGAGCGTTAAAAAATGCTCCGCAAACGCCGGACCAACGCTTGCCAAACGCTATAGGGGCGTTTGGCAAGCGTTGGTAAAACAGCCAAGTGTGAACAAGCCCTAAGAATGATAATTCTATTTGACACAAGAGATAACGGCCTGAATTTGGACATGGGATTCCTCACTCATTATCCAACAGTTTTATCACCTCAAGCATGACTGCCTCTGTGTGAGTGTAGTATTTGTAGCTGGCCAGCTAAGACCAGTCCTAGGTTGTTAATATGGTTCACATATATGTGTATACCAAACCTGACAATAACCTCAGTATAGTATATATGTGCATATGTTAAAGCCAAAAGCAAAATCATTGCTGTAATTTATGTCTTTGATTGTTATATGACATTTATATATTCATTGTGTTAGCAGAAGCAGAAAAGGAAAATATGCCTTTAAGAGTTAGTTAAAGATGAGCCAATCACAGACAGCCTCACACTGTACAGAGCCTTAACCAATCTCAGCCAGTTTCACATTTATGCCTGTGTAAAACTCCCTGCTAGGATTTTCTAGAGACACATGCTCACCAGACAGAAGAGGAAACAGACAGTTCCAATCAGAAAAGCTTTATGGAAGCAGAGCAGGCCAAATAGGTATTTAATGTACTTGTGTTTTTCCTCTGTTGTTTAGTAATGCAGGTAGATCTGTATGTAAAAACTGTTGTATGTGTTTACTTGTAGTTCCACCGAATTAATCTAACAACATAAGCTAACGAACTTACAAACGAATTTACGAATATACCGAATCAAGTCACTGTAGAGTAATCATAATCCAATCGAATCTATCGAGATAAGCTATTGAATCAACCCAATGTAATACAAATTAAACCATTGTAATATGAAAGAAACAAGTCATTGTAAGCCGTGTTATATGAAGAAGATTGAAGTTATTAAAGAAGTTAACTAAAGTATTCGGTGTGCTCTTTAAACCTACTGCATCCATAGAGTGGCATTGGAGGAATTGCAGAGTAAAGTCAGTCTAATCAACAAAGAAACAGCAATTGCATAATTAGGGTGCTGCGCCTGCCACAGTATTCCTCCCCCTCGCTTTTGCTGTCTCTTATCTCGAGCCTCTTTTTTTTTTACCCCTTCTAATATTCTGCTGAAACTTTGTGATTTGTATTTGTATAGTACTGCTTGGACCTTGAAGAAGGGGACATACCCTGAAAGCTTGTCCTCAAAATTGTATGTTAGTGCAAATAAAAAGTATCACGGACAGTACTCAATTGTTTCTGTTGCATAAGTATTCAGACACTTTGCAAAAACACTTGAAATTTTAGCTCAGGCTCCTCGCATTTTTCTTGATCGTTGCTGAGATGTTTCTACACCTTGATTGGAGTCCACTTGTGGTAAATTAAATTGATTGGACATGATTTGGAAAGGCATACGCTTCTCTATAAAAGGCCTAACAGCTGACAATGCATACTGTATCTACCCTGGGTGCAAAGTTATAATTTAAACAAAAATCTTCCAAGTATGATAAGAGTAGCAGCAGACATCTCTGGCTGATCAATCACAGAGGAATACTCAATCAACTGAATTAGAGTTTTTCAGCCAATCCCTATTATTTTTCAAAGAAAAGTTGTTGTTTGGGATGTACACTTTCTTCCTAATCCATGCAATAATACTAAGGCCCCATTCACACTTGAGTGGTTTGTAGCTTGTAGCTCAAAAACGCTCTAGAAGCAAAAACCTATAGTTTCCAATAGCCCATCTGAGCATCCTGTCGCTTGTAGAAAAATGCCTGTCACTCAAAAAGCACAAGCTACTTTTCAGGCAGAACTGAGCATTTTTGTACCCATAGACTTCAATGGAAATGCCTGAAAAGTGCTACAAAAGCTTTTATCAAGCATTTTTTTTAAGTGTTGTCGCATGTTTTCTGCTCAAACAGCAGTTCTCCTCCCCTTTTTTGGCAGCGCTCTACACCTTTTAGTTGAAAAGCGCCTTCAAAAACACGCATTTCTGCTAAAAAAATGCTGAAAAATGCTTAAAAAAGTACTTGAAAACATTATGCTTAGGTGTGAATGTACTGTACCTGAAACTTAGTAAAAGTTAAAGTATTACTAAACCTACAACATTAAAATCAGTCTGTATATGCAGTAAAGTGTGCTTTTTATATTCTCTATGGAACCTAAACCTTAAACCTCTGCATTGTGTAAAAATGCTGTTTGATCAGGACTTATCTGATCCTCCCCTTCTTCCAGTGCCCTGATTTCCTGATAAAACATATTGTGTGGAGACACTCTGCACATGCTCAGTTTGGTGTGTATTGCTAGAGAGGTTTTTTTTTTTTTTCTTGAGAGAGTGCATGTGATCAGCACAGGGCCAATCATTACTATCCAGACAGAGATCACAGGTTCTGCACCCTCCTAGAGCAGAAAACTCCTCCTACAAGCTTTAACATATGCTCTGCTGAAACACTGATAGAAGTCACAAGACTGCTCTAATTGCTGATGAGAAAAATAATTTAGCAGTTTATATTTACTAAAATAATTGCATTGGCACATAGTGTGTGCTGTGGGAGATCAGATAGGGTGAATGCAGGTTCCTGGGTTTAGTAACACTTTTCAGATATTTATTTGTAAAAAATTATGAAAACCAATTAGAATTTTCCTTCCACTTCACAATGTGCCACTTTGTGTTGGTCTATCACATAAAATCCCAATAAAAATACATTTACATTTGTGGTTGTAGCATGACAAAATGTGGAAAATTTCAAGGGGTATGAATACTTTTTCAAAGCACTGTAGGTATAGCTCTGTATTTTGGTCTTTAGTTCACAAAGCTATTTCTTATATACTTCAAGCATAAAGAACATATTTGCATTGATACTCAGGGGATGGATTATAGGGTCACAGGGTGTCTGTAGCCTTTCAGTATCAAGCTACAGTTAATGGAAAATGGAAATCCAGAGACTGCATATGACAGTGACACTGGACAAAAAAATGTCACAATGTCACAACAAACTGGACAAAAAATGACAACTTTAGAATACACCTTTTCTGATTTTTTTTTCATTAGTTTTCTAAATCTTATCTACACACTTGATCAATACATAACTCTGAGAAGCTTTCCGAAGGAAAACTCTTATTTGAGATGACTGAAAAATTACCATATTAACAGCCTCAACACACAATGCTTGCTTATTGCATCCTCAGTTTGAATAAAGAAATAAACATAAATATGTCTCCAGGAGCAATTCATGTAGCACTGATCCTAAGCAGTTTTGCAGTGTTTTTCAAGTATCTTAAGAAATTGTTCAGCACACTTCATACGTCTACATAATGCTACAGACATACAGTATTTCTGTGCATTTGTAGTCCTATTGCTTTATATGAAAGCCATAATTACTTTTTTTCAGTTCACATGTAAATTTATTAGAACAAATGTAACTGCATTAAAATACTGTACATGCAAAAGCATGTAAATGCAAATCAATGCAGCTAAAAATAGCAGAAAACATATATTAAGGAAAACAGTAAATTATCCCTAGGCCGCTATACAGGGATGATGTCATTCCAACTCTAGTTCATGGTGTCTTCCAAGTTTTCAAAATGATGATAAAATTGTTTATAGACACTGCATGTTATTTCTGTTCATGTAGAGACTTTCAGTAACTTATGGTTAGAGATCTCTAGATTACACTCAACGGGATCCTAGTGAGCAGCATTCCACTAGGGTAATTCCACAAATGGTGGTCCATTTGTGGAATTAATCATTAATACTGTAACAATGATTTTATTGTGTTCTTACAACTTTATCCATGGGGAAATATTTACCATAAGGCTCCTTAATTCTATGGGAAAAGATTGTTTTATCAAAAGAGAAGTTTGTGAATTGAAAAAAAAAAAAAAACATACATATTCACCTAGGTGGATGCAGTATCTGCAGCCTGCCACCTCTAAGACCGAGAATTGAGTGATCAAAGAACGCTGACTGCTCAGTTCTTGGTCTGTAGGGAGCAGAGAGCCGGTGACTGCCAGCCACTGCTCTGTGTTCTGCCCTCACTGGAGGGCCGGGCTGTGGAGGGGGAGAAGAAAGTGGCTGGCTCAGGCTCTCAGCAGCTCGCTGAGAGGTTGAGCCAGCTGCTAGTCCGGGCATATGGTTGGATACCGACATTAAAGTTGGGATCTCTCCAGAACCTGGACCAACTCAGTGACATCAGCTGGCAGCAGATATTCAGCCGCTGTCAGCTGAATACGGGTAACAGGAGTGACCCACAGGAAAGGTAGGTCCAAAGTAGCTTTTGCCCTACTTCTCCTTTAACAGTTTTTTACTTTTTATATCAGTCACATCGGGACACTTGTGTAGAACTTTATCAACAGACATTAAAGGCAAGGGAGACTGCTGCTGAATGAAGTCATTGTTACAGTCCCATTTTCTATTTTTCTGCAGGTTCTTGTAGAGGGTCTGTACTGTTAAATCAATACCCAAACAGGCAATAGGAGGACAAAAAACTAGCCATCACTATTATCTGTAGGTCCCTGCATCAAGTCTCTTCCCCAGTACTGACTTGTCAAGCTATTAATCACTTGCCTGCATATTTACAGCTATTTGGCTACAAAACATCACTTATAGAATGCACTGGGGGTTTTTTAGGAAGCATTTCATGCAAACGGTTTATTTTTTCAGAGCGCTGTTTAGGCAAAAGCAACCTTTCTATATCTTCGATATAAGACAACTTATTTTAACTTTTTGAGTATACAGTAGGTTCTGAATTTGTTGTTCTGAAAAGGTCAAAAGGCAAACTACTGTCTGAATTTAATAACACATTTGGTTGTACTGATAATCACATGCAAAACTTGGGAAGAAAGGGTTGCAGTTAATAATTGTTAGAAATTCTGTATGTAGCCCACCAGAACAGAGTGCTTTTCTGCTTCACTGCAACATGGAAACAGGAAACTTTATTTTTAGAGAAAAGACAGGGTTTTGCAATACCATAGATGCAGCTACAAACTTATAAACACTGCCATCTACTGGTTGAAGAATATATCTCTACTGAATACTGATGTAGTACTTGCACAACATACATGAACACTGTTTTTCAACACCCCCACTCAACAACTACTCCTTATAATAGTCTGATTTCAGATCTCATGAGTTGGAAGTCTTTTCATCTCACCCCAATGAATCAGGCGTTTTTTTTGCTTTTGGTGGATTTCCTGATGATTCTTGTGGTTTGGTTTCTTCTCTTACAGTATTCTGATTGTCTGCATTAATTTCTATTTCTGTGTCACTTTGTTGCTTGTTTTCATATGACGCTGATATGGAATTTCCCTTAGTTTAAAGTGTTTGTGTTAGTTCATGAAATTTTGAAAACACTGAAGTTTAATCAACAATTACACTTCTACAGATGGTTACCTTGTTTGTGTCTTGGTGTAGGATTCTATATCCCACACTGTACCCCACAAGTACGCCCTCTTTTGCACGGGTATCCCATTTTGTACATTTTTCATTTGGGATGACCACATAGGCTTTACTTTAAAAAATTTTTTAGATAGCTCATTCGTGGTTTTTCCATTACATAGTTCATATGGAGTTTTCCTGGTAGTCGATTTTGGAGATAGCATGCTGTCATAATTGCCTCCCCAATTGTGGTTGGCATATCTGCATCAAACAGCATGGTTCTTCCACTCTCACACAGAGTACGGTTCAGTCTTTCTGCAACCCTGTTTTGTTCTGGGATGTATGGTACAGTAGTTTGAAATATTATGCCATGTCTTCTGAGAATCGCATGTGTGTGTTAATCAGTTCCATAGTATGCGTGTAATTCACTCAGCATTTTTCTAGATTTGTTACTTGAGCCAAATACTATTCAAGTTTCTCTGGTACTTAACTTTTATTGTGTAACAGATATAGTGTAGTATACCTGGTGTAGTCAGTTTTTCCATTGGACGGCAAAGATCTAAATGAATTAAGTCCAGAGGCATTTTTTTAGCTCTGCTGTTGCACTGCTTTGGAAAGGCTTTTCTTGTAATTTTGACTTTTGTACAGCTGGTGCATTTCAATGCTTGATCACATGGACTGATTTGTATTCCACTTGCATTGTCATTCTGTCAAGGTCCTACCTTTTCCCAGAGGTTATGTTACTCCATGTGCTGGCATCCATCTTGGATTTCTGCTGAGCATGGTGGGAAGCTTTTATGCCTTCAGGCCTCTGAGGTCCATCCCCCAGAGGGGTGTGGCTGAGTACATATAAGCCTGTGATCTGCACATGCTCTTTGCACTTGTGTCTTGTGTCTTTGTCTTGCTACAGCTCTGTGTATATGCTCGTGACTCTTCTGGTATTCTGACTCGGCTTGTGACTAAGACCATTCTCTGTGTTTTCCTTCGATCTGACCTTCCGTTGCTGAACCCGGCCCGTGACCTGTGATTCTCTGTCTACTGTTCTGTACTGTTTTGTCCTGTTGTTGTCAACTCGGCTTGCCTGACTACGCTATTGTCATTCTCACCAGCTACACGCCATTGGCAGCGGCCATTACCACAGCCAGGGTGTCTCGGGGGCCGCGACCTGGTTCCTGGCTGCGTCAAGTCCATCCCCACCATCAGGGGCCCTGGTGAAGGGCAGCCTGGGACTTAGACTCCGCGCCCTGAGGGACTTCGGTCTGTTGGTGGTGGTTGTCGTCAGCCAGTGCCTTACCCTGCCACTAGGCCTACCTGTCCGTTCCACAGCCCTGCCCTGACACATTCTCAATTAATTTCTTATTATGTGAGGACTTCTGTGCCATGTGTGAATGCAGTTTGAATGTTTTTCCTCCTTGGCAGTATTAACCACTTCACTGCAGTTCAGCTGATACACTGCATCTGCAATTGTAGCCTTTGCAAGTAAGATATCCCCTTTTATGATAGCACAACTGTCAACTTGGAAGGTCACTACATTGCCTTGTTTTGCAACTTCACTGGCAAAAGGTTTGCTTCAAGACATACTGTACAGGGACATACAGGACATTTTTCAGAGGTATCTTTCAAGTGACATTCTGGGAAATAGGTAAGTAAAGAAAAACCATTCCTTCTAATTCCATTATTTACCCATTAGCTGTGGTGATTTTTCTCTGTTTTATTCTGGTCAAGGTGAATAAAGAAACTGCTGTCATTTGTCATGTGACTTGTATCTCCTGAATCAGCACACCATGCCTGATGAGATGCAACTTTTGGATTGAAAAACATATTCAGTATCTTCCTTTACACTTTTGGAATTTTGTAGTTTAGTTTGTTTTTGCATTCTAGCTTTCCAGATTCTACAATTTTCTTTTAAATAGCCTTGTTTCTTGCACACAAATCATTCACATGTTTCTTGTTGCATGTTACTG